AACCAAAAGTTGTACGTGTGACTAGTTGTACTCTCGTTATACTGATGTAATATGTAAGCTGTCTTCGGACAGCCTACTCGTTTGAACTAATAAAGTGCCAGGGGCCTAAGTGGTCACCTCAATATTAAAAAAAATAAAAAAATAAAAAAATAAATAAATAAATAAATAAACATATCTTTGCCTCATATTTTTATACTTCTAATAAATATACTAAACTGCCCTAGTAAAGAAATATTTTACTTCCATACCGCTTCATATTTTGCCCTGTTGTTTTAGAGATCTCTGTTACTGTATACTATATTGCAAATAGCATATTAAAAAGACTTCTTACTTGTAATAGTATAATTAGATTTTTAACTATATAGTAAATTTTTTATTTTTTTTTTAAATTGTCGACGGGTCTGACCATGACTAATCTTATTTATTAATATTTATAATAACATAAATACATAGAAATGTAAATATAAAAGTCTGACTCTACTCAGTTCCATATTGTGGTGCAAAAACCTAGCTCAGGCCTAAGTGCGACTCTGTCTTACCAGATTACAGATGACTGGAATTATCCAAAAAAAATTCTATAAAAAACGAAAATAAACTATAACTAAAAAGAAGAACTAAACAAAAAAGAGAAAAGGAAAAATAAAAAATAAAAAAAGCCCAAAAAAGAAAAAACAGGAAAAAATAAAAAAATTTTATAGAACAAGGTTAAAAAGTTGAGAGAGATTGCACCTCTTTTCATAACTAGGATACACTATTATAACCTGTGCAAGGCTGAAAAAATTATATAACAAATGCAACAATTGTATATCTCTAGTATAAAGCTTTGCCTTAACATTAAAAGTTGTTCCAACTTATAACCGCTTTCGGATATCTCTTTAATTGAAGGCCCCGATCTAACTTTCCTGGAGTAGCATTATATTTGTAAACAGACACATTATGTGGTTGCATTCTACTGAGTTTATCCAAATTTGGAAAGTAAACAATGCTGATCTTTTGGAAGGGTAAGCCAAATTTTCACTTTTTGTAAAAAATTTTGAAAGACCAACAGGAGGGTGAGAAAAAAAAAGAAAAAAGTCACTAAACCCAAAAGAAAGAGTGTGGCTTTAGAAAAGAAAAAGTTTTGTTGTTTCTCCTGTGTTTTTTTTTGAAGTAACAACCTAGAAACTTTGTTGGTGAAGTTGAGCTTTTTGCCTACACTCCACCAAGATTTTATATACAAGGGCACCTCTTGCCAGTTATCTTGTATAGTAACGCTCTTGGCTTACATGCCAAATGTCTTTTTAGAGGAGTTCTAAAAAGCAAATAATGTTGACCTCTAGACAAACCACAACGTAGGTCACAACTCTCCAACAAAAAATTTGTTTTTCTATTAGTGGGAAAATTTGGGTTTAGTGATCATCGGAAAGAGTTATAGTTGACTATATAGTAAATATTTATAGTAAAAATTATATAATAAATAGTATTTCTTTTATTGTAAACTAAATATTTCTTTATTTTTGTATTTAAAATAATTTATTATAAATTGGCTATATTATTTTATTTGAAATTTTATTTTATTTTATTTTTATTTTTTTAAAATTTGGCAGTTATACCAAAACTTTTATTAGATCTCTTATACACAGCTATATAGTATGTGCAGTAACTTTAAACCAAACACTAGTTCAGTCATCTAAATTACAAGTTTTGACTAATCTGGTTATCTACTGGACATCTATATTTGACCTGCTATAGTAGTTTTCACCTTTATACCTACTTCTTTTGCTCAAAATAAATAAATACATTAATAGCAAGCACTACTGCTTATCATAACTACTAATTTCTTTAAAACTCTTCTCTTCTTAATATCCGAGCAAGAGGATTCTATAATTCTTGCCTCAAGAATAACAAGTACAAAAAAAACTAAACTAAAAAAAAGAATAGAAAAAAAAGTGAAGAGACTACAAAATCTAAGCAAAAACTAAATACAAAAAATGAAAGTATAAAATGATAAAAAGGACAAAAAGAAAAAAATATAAACAAGAAAAGCACTGGGTACACCAGTTCTAGAAAGTTAAAAAATTATTTAATACTCTGTAAAACAATCTCCACCTTCGCTTTACTTTGATATTAAAATGTTTTGATATGTGGGAAATACAAAATTTTTTTTATTTATTTATAAATCTAAAACCTTTACAAGTTGTCTTATGTTTATGCATCCTTTTATAGTCATCTAGTGTGTAGTATATATTTTTTTGTAACTTACATTCTGATTTAGCTTGTGATTTTCTCATAACTTACTATCTCAATTTGGTACATAAATATTGCTGATTCTTTATTGGAGATATGCCAAATTTCTATTTTTTGGAAAAAATTTCAAGAGAAATATCAAAAAATCTAGCAGGAATATAGAAGTTGGTTTTCAAGATTAAGTACTTTAAAGTTTCCAAAAAGTGTTGTTAAAAAAACTTATTTGTTGTTCACCTTCTATTTTATTTTTATACTTATAAATTAACTTTGTTTATCAGCAAATTTAATAGTGTGTAATATTGCACAATAAATTACGCAATATAAAAAGCTGTAATATTATGCAATATATAATTATAAAATATTACGTAAGATTATTACACAATATTACATAAGATATTGCAAAATATTTCGCAATATTTTGCACAATATTGTATACTGAAATCAAAAATTTATTTTTCCGATACAATGCTTTTCTCTACAACTGACAACTTTATTTCAATACAACCACTTACACAACTACTTTGTAATCTATATTCACTTACCCAATAGCTATTTACCCGCAAACCCTTCTCTAAAAGTTACAACCTCTTCCACGATACTATCTTTTTTTGACACCTCCCTGATACAAACACTTTCCCAACACTCTCTAACTACCTTTCTATCACACTCTTTTCTGACACACTCTTCTAACTATTTTTCTCAGCACATACTTCTAATTATCTTTCACAACAAACTCTTCTTATTACCTTTCTCTATCCCTTAAGCTGTAGAGTTTGTGTAACAATTTTAGCTTAAAAATAGCATAAATTTAGTTATGATCTATTTTTT